CTAAAAAATAATCTACGTCAATTGTAGAATATATTCCGCCACCGCGATAGGCCCTCAAGTTTTTATTAAAAACACTTACGAAACTTTGATCGATGATTATATATATGCTAAAATGTTGCTGGAGGTGTTTATTAGGTCTTTTTCTAGTACCCCCATCATTCCAAATCCAAGCTATCATGTTGATTATTTCCCCTTTAATGGATTCACTCATCACTTCTCCCGATAGCGTTCTGAGCATCATAAATAATTTTATGCCGTCCTCTGCGGCTTTAATGAAGAAAATTAACTCAATTTTTTTTTTAAATCAACAAATCAATTTTTATTGTAATCTTTGCCCATATTATTCAGCAATCATTTGATGCAGCACTCATAAAAGACAACTCGAAAATTTGTAATCTTATTTACTTGCACAAAGCTCATATTAAGCCCGTTCCCATCAATTATAGCCCCATCTCACTAACCAGCGTTCCCAGGAACGCTTTTTGACATAATATTTACGCAAGTCGCTATCTTCGTAGAATTCAATTAACTTGTTTTCCCAGCTCAACACGACTTTAGAAGATATTTATATTGTAAAACTCAACTCCTGTCTATCACCAGCGACTTTTATTCAGATTTTTTTAGGGTGGCCAGGAGGGCTGAATATTTCTAGTTTGCCAAAGCGTTTGTTAAGATAGGGCACCGGCGTTTATTGCTTAATAAAGCTTCACATCAACTCTGTTTTTGACTGCTTGGTATCATATCTAACTCATCACTCGCAATCTTTAAAGCGAAATGGTACGAACTCCGCCGCACCCTTTTCTCCCGAAGTACCTCAGGAGTTCGTTCTGAGACCTCTACTTTGTTATTTAAATCTTATTAACTTGCAAGAGGTGTTTTTTTAGAGCGCAGCTCTTAGGGGCCCGTTTCCGGCTTGAGCGGCGTCGGCGTCAGCGTCGCCGCCGCCGTCGGCGTAACCGCGCGGTGTGCATTATGGGAAATGTCTCATAATGCACCGCGCGAGCCCCCCACCGGGGTCACGTGACCTCGTGGGGGGGGGGGGCACGTGACCCCCCCCCGAGGTCACGTGACCCCCGAGGTCGCGTGACCCCCGCCGATGTCGCGTGACCCCTCGATGACGTCATCGTCACTGATGACGTCACCGGCATCCAAATTGTCATCGTCATCATCACTGATGACGTCACCGGCATCCACGTCGTCATCGCCATCATCACTGAAGACGTCACCGGCATCCGCATCGTCATCGTCATCATCACTGATGACGTTACCGACATCCGCATCGTCATCGTCATCATCACTGATGACGTCATCAGTGACGTCACTGATATCGTCACCGGCATCCGCATCGTCATCGTCATCATCACTGATGACGATGACGATCCGACATTCGCATCGTCATCATTACTGGTGAAGTCATCAGTGACGTCACTAATGACGTCATCGGTATCCGCATCGTCATCGTCACTGATGACGTCAGTGATGACATTATCGGCATTGGGGGGTCACGTGACCCCCAAGGTCACGTGACCCCCCCTGGTTAGTTGAACCCCCTTCCCCCCAGTACCCTTCCGTCCTCCTCCTCGAGAGCTGCGCTCTAATTCGGCGTTACAGGGAGTTGTAAGCGGCTTTCACTTTTTTTTTTTATTTAATCAAACACTTTCCTTTCGACTGTGCTATTTATCTGCAATATTTCATGATTTTGAGTAAAAGGCATTATATGACCTAGATTCCATACTACACTGGTGTGACCTCTGTTCAATGGCGCTCAATATTAACAAATGCAAAATAATGCGCCCAACAGGTAAGCCCAATTTAAATTTTGTCTTAGTACAATTAACGCACCGTTAGAACGTGTAGACTCACACAGGTACCTGGGCATGATTTTAAGTGCTGACCTTTCCTAGGAACTTTATATTAACTATATCACTAACAACGCAAATGGAAGGTTTGGCTTGCTCAAACGTAAAGTTACCTCTAACCATTATTCTTAAAATTAATTCTTTACGTAACACTACTTAGGTCCAACCTGGAGGATGCACTTTTCGTCTGGGACCCCTCTATCAATTAATTTACTGATTCACTTGAAGGTGTTAAGAACAGATATGCATGCTTCATGCTGGCCAATGATAACTGCACCGCAAGCGTAACGTCAATGAACGACAGGTTGTTACTCCCCAGCCTAGCACATTGTCCAACAGTTTCTTGCATATGTCCTTTTGCTGAAATCGATCACCATACTTCTGAGCTCCACTCACAAGAAATTATCTCCCCTTACTTTGTTTCAACACTATTGGATCGTTGTTACAAATTCGGCGTCCAATTGTGCCACTCTAACATTTAATATGACTCTTTTATTCCTAGAAATTCCAAAGACTGCAACCGCTTACCCGCATCGCTCACATCAATTAGCGACCTCGCGCTTCTTTGTACATCTATTAGCAATTTCATGTCCTCAGGTTTTTAGGTATTATATATTTTACTTTTTTATATTAGTGTTCCTATTGTTGCCACTCCCCTGTCTCATGCATTGCGCCCTGAGGGCTGAATAATTAAATAAATAATTAAAAAAAAAACAAAAAAACACCGGGTTAAGCCGAGACCATTCGGCTTAGCCAGAAGCATTCTCTATTGACTTCCGCGCCTGACGTGCTACGGGGACATAGGGACTCCAGGTACTTGGACGAGGTTGAAGACTTGTCAAGCACCGCTCCAGCATTCCCTCGATTATCTTCTTTTCTTTTCTTACTGTAAGACTGAGGCGAGTTTGGCGGCTTGTCTAGCACCTTCTTCACGATGGATGACTCCGTAGAGCTTTTGTTCCTCTTATTCGCGATGCTCTGTTTCGAAGTTTTTTCATCTAGCGTGGGTTTCACTGGTGTCGCCTTCAAGCCTGTTGCTCGGAGACCGCTTTTGATTGACGGTTTCTCGGGCTGGATGTGCCGGTGTTTTCTTTTCCCCCCCTCGGATCTTTTCGGTTGTCCAGCTTCGGTTCCTTGATGTCACTGGTGCGTCTCTTGCTCTTCCAGCCACTATCGATTGATTGTGTTTGCCCTTTGTCCCCTTTCCCCTTCTCCAGGGAATATTTTCGTCATTCTTGTGCAACTCGTTTGCACATTTGCAATAAATTACCTAATAAGCATCAATTGATGCTTTCTAGGGATGGTTATCTTAGCGATCTTCATCTCTAAGACCAGACAACAGCTTTTGCTCTCTACAGTATAGCTCCTTCATGTTTTTGTGACCTTGTTCATTGGACTGTTCCGGACCAGATTGAATGTCAGTGGCCCAGCACAGTATTTGCTTCTTGGGCTCTCTTTAAAGCAGACGCGCCAACCATGTAGGCACCTGAATTTTCAATGTCAAGTTTGCCGGTCCTTGAGAGCGTCGATTTCTCTGATCACTTCCGCCTCGGATCTTTGTTTGTCAAGACTTGGCTCTGCCATGTCGCTGCTAAGTCCCTTCCTCTCAAAGCCACTGTCTGTCGATATCTCCCTGGTATTATTATATCCACGATTTTAATATCTCAACTTCGGCGACATCTTTCTTTTGCGGGACTTGTATAAGTCAGAATTCCTATGGTACTCTCCGTCAAAATGTCCCGACCAGTTGGAGGACGCTTATCATGTGCTGGCTCTTCCCCGGGTGCCTTTTATGTTAGGACGAACACCTGACATCATTCTGCGATGACGACGAAGTTTCCAAGAGATTCTGCTTGAAATTGTTTTTTTTCCGGCCTGGTTCGCTCTCTGCTCCTGCTGTGTCCCTTCCTCTTGCAGTCTCCATCGGCTGGCAGATCCTTGGGACAGGTTCTTTTCTGCTTAGTGTTTGCCTACCTCGACGGCAGCTGCCGCTGGCTGGAATTGCGGTCGTCGAGCTTTCAGCAGCGCTTTTTATCAGGAGCGTAAGGGCCAGATAGTACGACGCTGAATTTTCGGTGCTTCCACTTAGAAGGCTGGCTGGAACAGGGCGACTTTTCCCAGAGTCCCTGACTTTGGTCTCCCTTGCTCAGCCTGGGCTCGAAGGCGTCTGTCTCCCCTGGATTTTGTGGTCTCGCAAACGCTGTCGGTGGATGGGTCATTGGAATTAGTGCTTCTGTGCTTCCTCTTTTTCCACCTTGACAACAGCTCTTTTTGGCTTGATGCATTGCGCCTCCGATGACGCTGCTCATCATAACCATTTTGGGCCAGATTAGGAAATGGTGTCCCTGCCCTGCCTCTTCTCGTTCTTGGGAAAAGAGCTCAAACAACATGACTTCTCCGATATCCGCTGGCTCGGAGTTCGCTCGTCCCTCCTGGGCGTTGTCTCGGAGTTCTTCAATGAAAAAGGGTTAACTCCAGGACACTGTCAGCGGGAAGTGAACGGCCTAGCCTCCTTCCAGGACCTGTGTCGGGGCACGCGTGACGCGGGATATATTGCCAAACATTACCGGATCAGACAGCCGACCGCCAACTGTCAGTGGGATGGCATCCCCTAGCCGGGGGTGAGAAGGGTGCAAGATGATAAAACGTGCCCTGTCGAAAGGCCTATCACAAAATGCCCAATAGACAAGTGGGAATACTTTCGCAAATCTAACGACCTAGAGATGGCAAGGCGTTAGTTCTAAGATGGCGGCTGTGTTAGACACGGATTTTTAGTGCGCCCGTTTGCTGAAAAACGTCCGAGAACTGGCGCACAAAAAATCTGTCCCTGACTAATTAGCTATCATGAAACTACCACCGTGTCATCCGCAGCGCGTTAAACGTTTGAATATATTACTATTGGTATTACCTCACAACGCCAGCCGAGCCAAGGAAACGCTAATATCGCTATGGGCTCTGGTTCTCGCACCAGGTGTCGAACGCCTAATTTACTCTTGTTTACTTTCCGCACTTTTCATTTTAACAACTAGGTCGAAGAGCCATCCGACACGAAATTAAGATATTATCAATCCTTCAATCAATTCTGAATTAAATTAATCGCACTTGAACTCAATGTTCGTTATCGCACCGCGCAGGATTTACCTTGGTCTTGAACAATTTATGATCGTCATACATGATCAGGAAATGAAGCGTGGAGTTTTCCTTGAGCTTCGACGAGTCCGCTGCTGAATCCATCTCTGGCCCGATGTCATCGGCGCACGCCTGCAAAGTGTGAAGTTCGTACACGCAAATTAAGCAAGGGAAGTACGTGCCTAAAACGTAGATAACATTATTAGTCTTGTGCGAAAAAAGGCATTTCAACTCGGATGTAATTCGGATCCCTTATTGCGGTGGCGTCGGCAGAGGGGGGTTTGGGGGGCCGAAACCCCTCCCGAAATGCCAAAGCTAACCCCCCCCCCCCCCCCCCCCCAACGGGGCCCGCTCGCTCCCCTGCTCACGCAGTCTGTTTTGCAAGAGGCACAAAGCAACGGGGGAGCACGGACCATCTCCAACTCATAGGCTTTCGGAAAAATTGTTTGTGGGGTAGAAAAAGCTCAAATCAATAAAATATGAAATATTTCTTAATTCATCTTTATTCGATGGGATGCGGAACTTGATCTCAGATATATAGAGAACGGATATTTCGAAACATTTGTGGGGTGAAGGATATCCTCACTGAAATACACAGTTCAATCAAAACAATGTGAACATAATAAAACGAACACACGGTGATAATATAAAATAATGTCAGTGATGTAAAGAATAATAAATGAATTGTCAAAAAAAAAAAAAACGATCGCACTGTAAGCAAGGGGTGGCGCTGCGCTCACGCACACCTTTTGTGATCAGAATTACGTGCTTTCGACATAGAATATACCGCGAATAAAAAGGTAACTGCGACTAGTTATATTAGAATGCAATTTACAGGTTCTCTTTATCATCTCATTCATGCCAAGCGCCTCCACATTAAAATGAAGCCGCCTGCGTTCACGGAAAAAATATCCCGGACGTCCTCCGCTTGAAATTTAATGTCGCGGTGAACATTCAAAAACGCTATACTTCGTTTCAGCTTAGGTTCAGACGTAGCCGATGCTACAAGTGCCAGCTCCGGGCTTTCAGCACCCCTGCCAAACACACGCTCGAGCAGTGCAAGCATTGTTTGTTCAGGGCCACGTGTTCACGCCTGTAGCATCGGCTGCGTCTGGATTTAAGCTGAAACAAAGTATAGACCAAGCAGTCGCTCACTCGAAGTGGACGCTCTCAGGTATGTTTTCAACCGTCGTAGTGAACGAGCGCTCAGCTTCCGCCGTTGCAGAGCCACTGGGATTTTGAGGAGACGATGGACGTTCTGAAATAGGGCCTCCGAACAGAGGGCGACCGCCTGTGACGGGCGCTTCACGTTTCTTCCTCTTGCATTGGACGCCTAAAATTTCCCTATTTTAGGCGAAGTTTCCCTTACTTTGCGAAAATCAGCGCTCACGGATATGATGAAGTCCGTCTCGCTTTCTGCTGTGTATGTCAATGTGGCATTCGATGCAATTCCTTATTACTATTAGCTTAATCTGTTCGTTTCGCGCAACATCAGAAACTTGTAGAGACGAGCCTTCATATATCTCACTACGCACAGGCGCAAGGCTATGTCAAGTTCCTTTCAACGTTCGGCGTGTAGTTTCTTTGTGGTGCGTACTGTCATTTCTCCGAGTGACGGAACGACGAGTTCGGACTGATGACTTCTCCTCACTCCGAGGATATGCTGCTGCTGTCTTTGGACCACGCTGCAAGACAAAACGGCCAGGCGAAGATAACACTCTCTTTCCTTCGGCATCTGGTTCTGTAGCACGAATTTGTTAAACCTTTAATAGATAATAGATTTTGGTATTGTGATTGTCCAGAATTACCTTCGCCCTAAATATGGGCCCTGGTGTTTGTGCGTGGTGTTGGGACCGAGCGGTTGTCCGGGGACTCGGGGTACGGCAGGGAGCCGAGCCAGGCCAGGAGCTCATGTGGGGGCCGGACTCAGGAAGGACCAGGGAGCAGGAGGGGTGTCTCTTATATAATATAACTCTTTATATATACATATGAACAGGTTACATCAACTCAAGAACACTTGAGAACACCAGAGAACACATGCTGCTCATTTTATAAGGTCCCCTTTCCCTACATCCCTAGTAGGGAATCCCCAGGGTTCATTGTTCGTAACGTCCAGGCGCGCCATCTTCCTCTCTCTCGCACTGCAATACACGACGCTTACACTGAAGGGCAGACGACCTTGTTCACGGTGTCGCCTGTCAATCTCGTTGGTCACCGGCGCCATCGCGGTCCGGACGGGCAAAGATTCCTAATTGCAGGCGTCTTGATCTCCGTGCGTAAAGGGGATAATCCCATCGAAGCTCGAAGCTGGGGGAGGACGCAAAGCCCCCTCCATTGTCGAGGGCATTCCACGGCTGCCGAGGTGCCGGGCGTCGAGGCCAGATCGAAGCAGGAAGGTGAGGGCCCGGAAGGTAAAGCCCGATGACACTTGCGTGGGTCAGCCCGATGATCCCTCGGAGAAGGTCACGTCGTCCCCGCAAACCAAGGTGCGTTGGCGACTCCAGGGCGCCTCTCGCTCTGTCTCCGGGCGCAGCTGACCGTAGCCACCTGGCGATGATGCTCTAGGGCGTTCACCCGTGCCGGTCGGTATGGAACGGCAAGGTCGTCTCCTGGGCCCTTTCGCAACAGCTCCTCCACCGCCAGGAAGAGTGCCTTGTTGAGGGGGAGCAGTCCACACTGGTCCCTTGAAGACGCGGTCTCACGGCTAGGCTGGCGACTGAGGTCTCCAGTCTGGCAGTCCGGCGGAGTGACCGAGCGGAACATAACATTCTCGTTCTGCTCCTCAGAGAAAACGAAGAAACCGGGCCAGATTATCGACACTACGGCTGTAACATCACCACAGCCGTACGACACACCGCACGACCGGGCGACAGGCGGCTGATAACCGGCAACGCCTGCCAGACAGCGCGGGACATCGCCCATAAAGGCAAACAGCAGACTAGGAACCAGCGCAGTCCGGCGGAGTGACCGAGCGGAACATAACATTCTCGTTCTGCTCCTCAGGTGGGTGCATTTCCTTTTTTTCTTTTTCTCCTTGCACCGTACACTCCGCTGGACTGCGCTCTCCCCTACTGAGTTATGTCTGACATCGAAGAGAATGTTTGCTTAGCATGTATGAAAGAAGTTACGGGTGATAATCCAGTGTTAAAATGCGCAAAGTGTAACAACCTGTTCCATATTGGGAAGTGCTCGAGTGTCACCAAAAAGGCCAAGAATGCAGTAAATCCGCTGACTTGGCTGTGTACAACCTGTAAGCTGAACACCCAACGTCAAAGACAGCAGGGGAATGACCAGATTGCACAGGCCACTGCGGAAGCTTCAGATCACGGGCAAGCGGCTATAATGGCACAAATAGTGCAAACAAACAAAAAGATGACTGAGGTTTTAACTAGGATCGAAAACATCGAAAAAAAGCTGAATGTGCAGTTTGCGCAACACGACACTACGATCCAAAAACTAGATAATCAGGAGAAAACCATTGAATCTATCGAAAAATTAGCGAACTTGCTATCTGAACAGTATGACGATTTGATAAAAAAGATGGACTCACTAACAACTGTCACGAACGACCTAAGGAAAATAACAAAGGAGATTGAACAGCTTGCATTTGGCAATGACGCGCGAATAAAAGACCTAGAGTGGGCAGTTAAAAATATGGAGCAATATTCACGAAGAAGAAACATTGCAATTCATGGGATTTCCCCACACGTGCACGAAGACCTGCCAGCAATTCTAAAAAATCTAGCAGCGAGGCTCGACCTACCTTTTCCAGAGCCGGATAAGATCGAAGCCATGCACAGACTAAGAGCGAGAGATGATAAGATTGCCCCGATCATTGTCCGATTCAACGACAGATCGGAGAGGGACCGGTGGGTCAGCAAGCGTACCGCGCTAAAGGCTGATCATATCTTCATCAATGAGAACCTGACAAAGCTGCAGAAATGGTTGTTCTGGAACGCAAAGAAATGTGCAAGGGAAAAGGGATACAGCTTTGTTTGGATGAGAAATGGAAAAATACTGGTCAGACAAAGGGCAGGATTGGCAGTGATACGTATCGACAGGGAAGATGATTTGAACAAAATCCGATAAAATGGCCACATGTAGCACACTTAACGACTGGAATAGATATTTAAAAAATATAGTAGCGAAAGAGGGAAAGGAGGAAGAACAGCTCCTACATGTCATTCAAATTAACATCAGAAGCATTAAAAAGCATTGGGATGAACTTAATGTATACCTTGCTAGTTCGCTCGAAGATATCGATGTAATAATACTAACTGAAGTCAACGTTGAGGCCAAAGCACCGTTACCGTTTCATATGGATGGATTTCATTCAATTTCAATTCGTGGAGAGGGCAGAAAGGGGGGAGGAATATTAGCTTACATAAAAAATGATTGGTCTTCAGATCGTGCCGAGGTGTTTATGAATCATGCAGAAGTTCTTGTCTTTACTGTTCATAGGCCTGAAGTGTCATTTACGGTAGGTGCGTTCTACAGACCACCCAGTGGTAATCTAAACTTATTCTACGATGAGTTCGTAAAACTCTTGAACACCTTTAATAATAATGACCATGTCGTATTAGCTGGCGATTTCAATATCGATGTTATATGCCGCAGCAAAACCGGAGTAGAAGAATATCTTGATATATTGTCGAACTACGGGTTGGAAATTATGATTGACGGTTGCACACGGGAAGAATACTTAGGTGATAAAGTAATAAAAACTTGTATCGACCATATAATAGTGCGTACTTGTACCTTAAATTTTGTAGCGGCAATAATACAACAAAAAGTAGCCGATCACTACTTTGTCGCTCTAAAGGTTATGCGTGAGGTCGAAACCAAAAACACGCCGGGAAAGCAATACAAAGAAATTCTAGTTAATAAAAAATTAGACAACAAAATGAAAGGTTATAACTGGATAGCTTTACTGCACCTAGACCACCTAAACCTTTACAAAAGAGTGATAGAAATATTCAAGGGAATATATGACAGCTCAATTAAAAAAAAAGACTAGAAAAGCGGAAGCCGGGAGCTGTCTGGATTAACGAAGAAATACTAGAATTAAGTTATGAAAAAAAGTAGACTTTGGAATAGATGTAAACAAACCCCCCAAGATGCAACACTAAAGGAAGAGTTCAGGTAGATACGGAATAGAGTGACGGCGAAGATTAGACTAGCAAAGAAGAGATTTATGTGACACAACTCCGAAATTCTGGGAAAGACCTAAGGAAAACGTGGAATATTGTAAATCAAATAATGGGAAAACCACCTAAAGACAGCGTTGACGAATGTATAAAGAAAAATTTTGGGGTCACCGATTACTTTACCCTCAGTAACAATTTTAATAATTACTTCGCTAAAGTTGTACAAGACTTGCGTCGGCCAGTAAACAACACCACCGAGACTGCAAAGCCACTGTCGAATGTATCGAACTCGGCATACTTGCCACTAATAACAGATACAGGCTTAGAAGATATAATTAACAGCATGACAATCGTAAAACCAGCGGGATATGACCAACTAAGACCACGAGATATAAAAGTAAACTATAACAACTTAAAACATGTTTTGCTGGCGGTAATAAATGGAATATTAGAGACCGGAATTATACCGGATAACCTTAAAGTTGCGATAGTTCGGCCTATTTATAAAAAAGGAGGAAAAAAGGAATTAGGCAACTACAGGCCAATCGCTCTCATGTTCGTTATCTCGCAGATAATGGAAAATTTTGTTTTAAAAATAATGACCTCCTTTTGTGACAAATATTAACTAATAAGTAACACCCAGTATGGCTTTCGGCAACAATTAAGTACGACGCTTTTACTTGAAGACATGACAGATTACATGAATGAAAGAATAGATTCTAATAATGTAGTACTTGCAATATTTCTCGACCTGAAAAAGGCATTTGACACAATTGACCATGTCATATTACTACATAAATTAGAAAACCTTGGCTTTCGAGGGCATTTCCTAGACTTATTTAAAAATTACTTTTCCAACCGGTCGCAACGAGTTAAGATAGGAAAATGCATCAGTGACGCTGTGCACACAACCTGCGGTGTGCCGCAGGGATCTGATTTAGGCCCTATGCTTTTTAACATCTACATGAACGATCTAACCTTATTACCTCTGAAATCTAACCTCTATCAATACGCTGACGATACTGCATTAGTCCTGGCAAATGAAAATTATGATACGGCAGTCAAAATCATGCAGAGTGACATCAATAAAGTAATGAACTGGCTTTCTAAAAGCTCTATATTTGTTAACATTAAAAAACACAACTAATCTGGTTTCGAACGCACCAAAGGCGTATTAACCTTACAAAACCCATCTTCTTGCATTCAAGTCAATGCACCCAGTGCTGTTGTACGCCACTTTCATATACCGCTCAGGCGAGATATCTACGCATGTATTTTGACGAGCATCTCTCTTGGAATTCCCATGTACAGCATCTAATAAATCACTTACGAACAATATCATCCTATTTATACAGATTACGGAACGCCGCGGATATTAGGCTAAGACGATTAATTTATCAAATGTTAGCAGAGTCAAAACTAAAATACGGTATTACTATCTATGCATCCTGCTCCAACTTCAAAAAACAAAGAATGAATAAGTTAATGAAAAGGATGGTGCGGAACATCGCGTATGGAACCAAATTTGAAAATATGGTGTTTGAAAATCAGCTGTCAGAACTTGACCTGTTGACAGTAAATAAACTGCGCAAATTTGTCATTCTAACGAATCATTACTTTACATCCGAGTTCAAAATAAAAACCATCAAACAAAGGCAATGGAGAAAAACGGAGAAGTTTCAGATACCAAAAATATACACTAACCATGGAACTAGGCTCCGTAAATTTTATGTACCCACATATTTCAACCAACTTCCTGAAAATTTACTCAATCTCCACTCTTTAAAATCTGTACAAAAGGAAATGAGGAAATGGTGTATAAAGAAAACTGAAGGCTAACTAATCGTTCTCATGAACTCATCTTTTTTTTTTTTTCTACTGCGTATTTTTGCGTTCTTTGATTCCCTAAGTACGATACTCCAGTTACTTCTAGATTTCTACCTTGACCAAATGTGTTTTTTTTTTTTTTGCATTGTGTATTTTTCCTTTGCGATACCTTATGCTTGCTTTTGTCGTTTCTGGGTATCATGACTGCTCTTTTGTTGTTTGTAAGTATTTGGCACATGCTATTTCCTTAGTACTGTAGGCGTGATGTCTAAAATGTAACGAATATGTTTTGTTTGTTTGCTTTGTTTCTTTTGGGCTTCAACATTGAATAGATGTTTGAAGAAAATGTTTGTAGGACTGTAAAAACCAAGTACCCGTGTAAAACTACTTATTGTTTTAGTGGACTGCCCGTTCTCACGCAAAAGCACGCAAGTGCTTTTGTGAGACGGTTTTTTTGTACCTTGATGCGGATCTGTGAATAAACTATTATTATTATTATTAGTCCAGGCTTGAGTCCAGACTGGGAAGTGGCAGTAACAAAACCCACAACAGCGAACCACACTCCGCGTAGGCAAGCACCCAGCACCCAATCTCTCCAATCCGCCAGACCAAAACGAACAACAAAATAAAATGCCTCGCGAAAGTTCCGTACTATATTCTATCAACGCAAAATACGCACAAACAAACTTATTTTTCTCCGACAGGCTGCTCTAGCGAAAGAGTCTTTTGTAGACCAATAAAAGCCCTCTTACGCTCAACCCAAAATAAAACGGATTCCCGTGAAAAAAAAAAAAAAAACACTTTACAAACCGGAACGTAACTCGCATAGGGTATATCCCTATTCAATTCGATCACGTCCTCCATAATGCAAACTCTACTCAGGAGAAAACCGCTTCAAAGGAACTTTAGCGCCAACACAACGAGCTAAAGCCGAACGAAACGCCAAACTCGGACTCCCGAAAAAAGAAAAGCTAATAAACTTGCCGAATAACCAGTCGACTCAATAGCAATAAAAAAAAAACACGTTTAGCCCTCCCTTTTGCCTCGAAAGTCCTTCTTTGCATATAACCGACGCCCTGTTTGTAATTGGCATCACTCGGACTGTTCAAGTACTTCTCCTTGGACTTGCGTGCCGGCACAAATTTGCAGTCCCAGAAATCTCCCTTGGTCTCCACGTCCGACGTGACGCCAGGCCGAACCACAGGCGATGAGCTCTGCCTCCGTTTGGAACCTCATTGCGTCGTTCCAGGCTCACATGTTGCCTCCTCCAGGCTCCTTTCTCGCACTTGAGCTGTGGGTCCGTGGCTCGTTGGGAGTGGGGTCCTGGAGTTTTCCCCCTCCCAGCCACGAGGACCGCTTCTTCTTCTTGAAGTGGCGCTCGTCGCGCTTCCCTGGACGCTTTTTGCAGGGAGCGTCGCTGCCAGATCCTACAACGCTGATCCGGCGCTGCCTTTTTCGTTTCGGTCACGGTCGCTTGCTCCTGATGGCCTCCAAATTCTCGGTCGCAGATCCATCATGCCGCGAATAAGACGATGTCCTCAGGGGCACTGGTGTCCGGTCTGCTTTGTCCAGCCTGGGCTCCTTCGTGTCCCTGGAGGGTCCCTTGCCCGCGCAGCCGCCGCCGGTTGTAGGTCCCTTGGGTTGGCCGACTTCGGGTTTCCCGTCCTCCAACCTCAATGACGACTCGCTGCCGGACGTGCACTCGTCGTTGTCCTCCTTGCACCTGGACTCCGTGAATGGTCTGGAGTCCGGGCTCCGCAACCGCACCAGGCAGGACTGATTTATCTCGTCGAAGGAAGTCTCGACCACCTCCCTTCTGGTCGGCCGCTTGGACTCCTGCGATGGCGCCGTCGGCTTGATCCCAAAGCCGCACGGGTGCCGATCCGAGCGGTCAGGATCCTGGCTTGATTGCTGGAACGCTTTCTCCGGCATCTCGGCACTGCTCACCATGAGCTGGCTGGACTTCCCCGGCGTCGTCTCCGTCTTTGCGTCGCCTTCGTCATCCGGGAAGTCGCCTCCAGACGCCTGAGGATTCTTCTCTTCTTTTTCCCGCCGCTTGGGCGATGGGTCGGTCTCGTGCGGAATGGCGTCAATCTTGCGTGAAACAGAGTCGGTCTTGCGTGAAACAGCGTCGGTCGCGTCGGAGGAAACATGCTGGTTTACAGTCACCTCGGTGTCCCCAGCTCCCATTTTCCTCTTTTCCTGACACACCACTTCTGTTGCTGCTTCCACGTCACTTTTACCGTCCCGCCGCTCGGAGTTCGGGTCGGGCTTGCCAAGAACGGCGACGGTAGTGTCGGGAGAAAGACAATAATTTTCGGTCATCTCTGTGCCCCAGCTCCCACTTTCTCCTTTCCCTGACACACCTTTTCTGTCACCCCTTCAACGCCTGTTGCCGCCCGACAAAGAGTCTCCAACTCCCGCAAATTCTTCGCGAGCTCGAGCTGCTCGAACTCGTAGTCGAGCCGCTCCATTTCGCGCTTGTACTCGCGTTTCTCGAGTTCCCATCTCGCCGTTTCGAGAGCCTGCTCGTCGGCCCGCGTTCTGCGTTCCTCCCGCTCCCTTCCGCGAACCTCCTCCAGAGCCTCTGTGAACCCCTCAATGCTGACGTCTTCGGCCTGAAGGAGTTCTAGAATGTGCGGTTTTCTTTTTCTCTGCCCCAAATCTATTCCCAATTCGGTACAGACCTGTACCAAATCGTACCAGCGGAATGCCTCGAGACTCATGATCTAGCTGTGTTGGCCCTCTTTCTCACAAAATTCTCGCGTCAGAACGGTCACACAGTCCTTCTGACAACGACTATCTCCAACTCCCACAGGAAAAACTTAGAGGTAATGGGTCTGGCAGATTGAGAAAGAAAGGGTCGGGCACTCACCCACACAAGAAGTCATGGTCCGGCGAAGTCGATCCCGCCGCTGCCATCCAGTTGTTGGCACAGCGTGGTTGTCCGGGGACTCTGGGTACGGCAGGGAGCCGAGCCAGGGCATGTGGAGGCCGGACTCGGGAAGGACCAGGGAGCAGGAGGGGTGTCTCTTATAAAATATAACTCTTTATACATACATATGAACAGGTTACATCAACTCAAGAACACTTGAGAACACTAGAGAACACACAGTAGCAGCCGCCTGCTGCTCATTTTATAAGGTCCCCTTTCCCTACATCCCTAGTAGGGAATCCCCAGGGTTCATTGTTCGTAACGTCCAGGCGCGCCATCTCCGTCTCTCTCGCACTGCAATACACGCGTTTACACTGAAGGGCAGACGTCCTTGGTCACAGTGTCGCCTGTCAATCTCGTTGGTCACCGGCGCCATCGCGGCCCGGACGGGCAAAGATTCCTAATTGCAGGCGTCTTGATCTCCGTGCGTAAAGGGGATAATCCCATCGAAGCTCGAAGCTGGGGGAGGACGCAAAGCTCTCTCCTTTGTCGAGGGCATTCCACGGCTGCCGAGGCGCCGCGCGTCGAGGCCAGATCGAAGAAAAAATAGAGCACTTTGGAATTACAACAGGTATGAGGTGGTGAGAGAGATTTGGAAAGGGGTCATGGTGCCTGGCTTGACTTTTGGAAACGCAGTGCTGTGCATGAAATCCGAAGTGCATGCGAGACTAGAAATAAAACAGCGCGGAGTAGGTAGACTGGCTTTGGGGGCACATTGCAAAACGCCAAACCAGGGAGTACAAGGAGACATGGGATGGGCATCATTTGAGAGCAGGGAAGCGGTGAGCAAGGTAGAATTTGAGGATAGGTTGAGGCAAATGGACGGGGAGCAATGGGCACGAAAGGTTTTCAGCTATTTATACATGAGGAGTGTAGACACAAAGTGGAGACAGCGCACTAGGAAATTAAGAGGAAAGTTTTTGGGCTATAGCGAAGATACGGAAGAGCAAGTCTCAGTTAAGAAGAAAGTTAAGGCCACAGAAAGAGATTGGTGGCTAGAGGGAATGCAGACAAAGACGGCTCTGGAAAGCTATAGATTAAACAAAAGAGTTATTGCCAAAGAAAGCATTTATGACAATTCTAGGGGAAGCTCATTGCTGTTTGAGGCAAGAACGGGTGTTCTGCGAACCAGAACATACAGGGTGAAGTACCAGGAAATTGATACAGTGTGCACTGCTTGTGGAGAGGAGGACGAGACGGCTGAGCACTTGATACTCTACTGTAAAGGGCTTCACCCTATGCCTACCGAAGACAACATAGATTTAATAAAGTCATTGGGTTTTAGAGACAGCGAAGGGAGAGTGGATTTCAAGACTGTAGAGATTACCAAGCAAAGATTAAGTGAATGGTGGCAGAAATCGAGAGAAAACTAGGTATTTTCTTATCCACTGATGGCAAGGGGGTTTCATAGCCTCACTTTCTTTGCACTGCGGAGTGAATATAGATTTCACATTTAAATATTCTAAGCTTAAATGGTAAAACAAAATGGCTAGGTGGCGTAAGCTACCGCCCGATCTAAAGGGCTCAGCCGTATTCATCCATCCATCCGAAGCAGGAAGGAGAGGGCCCGGAAAGTAAAGCCCGATGACACTGGCGTGGGTCAGCCCGATGATCCCACGGAGAAGGTCTCGTCGTCCCTGCAAACCAAGGTGCGTTGGCGACTCCAGGGCGCCTCTTGCTCTGTCTCCGGGCGCAGCTGACCGTAGCCACCTTTTGTTGGGCGCGAAGATATGGTTCTGCCTAGGGATGTCGCGAACCACCCTAGGTTCGATTTCGAAAGGTTTCGATATTTGCGAAGCGAACTGAGGTTCGATTTCGAAAAATTTCGATATTTTCGTACCGACCGAGGTTCGATTTCGAAAAATTCGCAACTTTTGTCCACAGCGGAGTTTCGAATTCGAAAATTTCGAAGCTTTCACGGTTTCTGAAGTTTCGAATTCGAATATTTCGAATATTTTTTTACTTCAGGTTCGATAAATTCGAAGATTTCGAAATTCTTTGTAAAAAAAATTCGAAAACTTCGAACGCTTCGAATTTTTATAGACATAAAGTTCGAACAATTCGAAGATTTCGAATTTTTTTTGGCATAAAGTTCGAAAAGTTCGAAAGTTTCGATTCTCTTTTAACGCTAAATTCAAAAAAAAAAAAAACCTTCGAAGATTTTGAATTTTTTTCTAATCCAAGTTTTCAAAGTTTGAAGTCTGATTTTCAAGTTTTTCTACAGTTTCAGTTTCAAATAACGTTTTCACGACTCACTGGTTTTCACAAAATCAAGTTTAGAAAAGCTAGGGTGTGATATCTAGATTCTGCGAAGTTGGTCAGGCAATTAAATGAGACACGAGTGTCCCGGACGTGCTAGAACATTTGCCAGTGCAGAATTGTGACCGCCAGCCCCGGGGGATGGGGGGAGGGGGGGGGGGGGTCTTTAACCTGCATCACGCAGTAGTGATCACACGAACAGACTGTTTTACGAGACTCATCCAGTTCGAAACGGCCAGGGGCGAGCAGGAGGTTGAGGCTCAGAAAAACCTTGAAGCGGCCTGGCAAACTACCTCGCCACCCCTTGCACGCTGGTAGTAATCCGATCCGGTGAAGTTTATAATTGTCCTGGAGGTTTATTTTCTGGGACGGAGGAATCGCCTCGCAAAAAGCACAAAAGCCGACACAACTCGAGGTCGAGGAGCGTTCTACCATACAAGTGGCGTCAGAAGAGGAAAAACGGGGGGAAAGAGGGTAGCGGGAAGGGGGGGGGGGGGGGGGGGGGGGGCTTCAGCCTCTTTTCCCCCCTTGCAGGTATTTCGGACTGTTAAAGAAAACAATACGGGGAAAGAGGGCGTGGTCGAGCTTATTTTAATCTGAAATTATTTATGCATATGTATAGCTACTGTCGCTCTTCACTGCATAAAAAGTTGCGTAGATGGTCACTGTT